CTTTGTGTTAGTATCTTGTCATTTTACCTGGTCCTGTCTCCTTTACCTGATGCATTAGCTCCCTGAAGGCAGCGTGTGTCTTGGACTCCTTCCGATCCTCTTTCTTCTTCAGCACAGTACCATGGTACTGAAGGTGCTCCCGTCTGACTAATAAATACCCTTGACTTGGTGAAATCTTATATTTTAAACACATTTCCACCTATTCTTTCCTTATAACAAATATTTACTGCAACTCAGTTGCAGTGGAAGGTGAATAAGAAGTAGCATTTACCTTCAAGGAGCTTACAATTTTACTTCTAATTTTACTTCTTACTCTCCTACCCACCTCTACCATTTCCAAGTAGGATTCAATGCAGTTCTTAATCTAACAACGAGGGTTAGGTTTGTATGTAAATTAAAGGGATGCCACAAGTGAAAAAAGTGTAAAGGCATAAAATGCCAACTACTTCAAAATGTACTTTCTGTATTTCTTAAAGACAAAGCACATTCTCCGTAGAAAAATAGCAGAAGCTTAGGGTGGAATGATGAGTTGGGGCAACATAGTAGCATGCCTTGAATGCTAGAAGAGTGTTACTTATTACAGACGTTGGTGGGAAACAGAGTGCTGATGAGAGCTGGCTTTTTAACAATGTGAATCTGGGGGAGGCTGAGGCAGGAGGATTGTTCAAGCCCAGGAGTTTGAGGCTGCAGTGAGCTATGATTGGGCCACTACACTCCAACCTGGGCAACAGAGCAAGACCCTGTTGCTCTGTTGCCCAGAAAAAACAAAAAAATGTGAATCTGGCAGCTCTATGGACCTGGAAAAGGAACAGTAAGGAGCATATTACAGATGCACAGATAAGAAGGAATGACAGGCCGGACGCAGTGGTTCACGCCTGTAATCCTAGTACTCTGGGAGGCTGAGGCGGGAGGATTGCTTGAGGTCAAGAGTTCAAGACCAGCTTGAGCAAGCTCAAGACCCCATCTCTACTAAAAATAGAAAAAAAATTAGCCAGCTGTTGTGACACGTGCCTGTAGTCCCAGCTACTTAGGAGGCTGAGGCAGTAGGATCATTTGAGCCCAAGGAATTTGAAGTTGCTGTGAGCTAGGCTGATGCCACGCCACTCTTGCCCGGGCAACAGAGTGAGACTCTGTCTCAAAAAAAAAAAAAA